TAATTTAATAAAATTTTAATAACTAATTTACTATATAACATGAATATATCAATCATTTATTAACTTAGTAATAATAACATGTGTAACCGATAATAATAATTTTATTAGCTCAACGGTAGTAATATTCACAAGCGAAATCTCCATATTATGCCAATAATATTCTATTAATAATTCACTATATATATATATATATATATATATATATATATATATATATATATACGCATTATGCCACACCGCAATTTAAACATTATTAGCGGCTGCTCGAGTTTAAGCACAATTTTCCGCAGGGCAATATAGTGGCGTTTTCTTTTTTTTGCGCGCATTTCATGCACTTTCTTCAAAGGACTCAATCTTTCGTCGCTTCCGTAAACAGGATGTTTTTTTAACCGTCGGAAAAGAACGCCGACGCTTGTCGGACGACCATTGTCGGATTTATTGCATTTTCGCTTTCACCGCCTCCGCGATCCGCGAGGCCGCGCATTTTCACCGCGGTAAAATTACTACGATCCAATCTTTTTACGCGCGTGCCATCCGTTAAAGCGCGACTCTCGCATGTCCGTTGACTGTACGGCTCTTTCACGATACGTATCTTCTCTTTAATATATTAGTTTTAGAATTTGCAATCTTAATTAACGATTTAATGAGCAAGAACTTTACAGGATGCTTTCAATTTTATATAAAATGCAATTAATTCAATTCAAAAAAGAATTATTTTATACAATTGTAAATATAAATTTTTCAACATATTTTACATACATGTGTGTACATTCAAGACGTTTATCGAAATATATAATTAAAGATAATTTTATTTAATAATGCTCTCATGATTAAATTAATTGATTAAATTTTCTAAAGACTATTTTTGATTATTGAAAAGACACGTCATTCTTGACAACACGATGTATCAAAATAGAGAGAGAGAGAGAGAGAGAGAGGATGAATATTTTTCACATCTCATTGTATACATTGTATATAAATTTTTCATCCGTTGTAGAAATTGCGAAAGAATATGCATATAAGCATTTGTGTAATTTATCATATACATATTTTATTCATATGTCGATAACACGCAGCATTTTTTTCGCTCTTCCATCGCGTAAAATCTCTTGCATCTCTTTTGAATAAAATTAGATTAATCAGAAAAGAATAGCAATCTATATAAAAGCAGCCACAATCAATCCACAAGTTAAAAATTCACCCGTAAAAAGGCTGTAATTTTAAAATTCACGTTGGAAAATTCATGTTTTCGCAAAATGTGACTTTGCGATGGACCTTGGCGGAAGAATCATAATTCCGCCATTTTTCTCCGCCGTTGGTTGACGTTTTCCCATTGGCCGGCCGCGAAATTACCGAATGCACACGTGCGCTTCTGCAGGAATGGATGTTTTCCTGGCTTCAGGAATCCCGTATGAATATTTATGAGCGACCATCTCGGCCTGGGAGCGGTGGATGGAATCTACATTCCTTCTCTCTCGACCTCTTTCCCTTCTCTTCCTCTCTCCTTCTCCCTTTCTCGCGCAACATCAAACTTCTTTCCTTCTCTCTTCGCATAATCTCCCACCGTCTCTCTCCGGCTTGAAATCGTCATAAAATCCTAGTATATTTTCCTCCCCGAGTATCCTTGAATCGAAGCGTCGGAGTGAAGGAGAGTAAGGGGGGAAATTGTAGAGATTCTCGGAGCCGAATAATTTATATCATTAATGTCGTGTCGAATTTTAATTCGTTTGACAAACTTGACCTTCGGGAATTTCAACCTTTCTCGGCTTGACGGGAGATATGCGTAGATACGAGTCTTTTATCACGTTTTATCTTGGAAAATATATTTTTTCCCACCTACAATTTTACGCGAAATTGACATTTATTACAATCGTACATCTCTAATTATTGTTGGTCGAGTCGAGTTATCAATTTCAATTTAGTCCAACAATATTCGGGATCGAGAGAGCGTTTGGAGGACGAAAGGCCGCATAGCATGTAGATTCCAACAACGCGAGACAACAACAACCATCCTCTCGTCGCGACGTTTTTTTTCGGAATCAATCCCGACTCGTCACGGCATTTCGAGGGCGCGTCACGGTTTTTATTGCAATATTTACATCCTGATTTCGCCCGTCGACGTCGGCGTCGGCGTCGACGTCGACGTCGACGTCGACGCCGACGCCGAGCGCCGGCATTTTATTCCTATGCAAAACAGAAAGCGCGCCGCGCGACCAGCGAAATATTTACCCTACAATTCGGACATGTAATAACTCCGGATATTTCACAGTCCACGCCGACAGTCCGTTTATGCAGTTCGATTATGCTCCCCCTTCCTCCCCTCCTGTTTGATTTTCACCGGAATATTTTACACCGACGACGTATTTTACAACGCGACGTCCTCTCTTGCGCGAATTTTTCGATAAATCGACCGAGCAACGGGTTAAGAGAAAAAAACGAGTCATTAAATATTTGTATGCAAATTTGCATGCTTGGATGCGTTGACACATTTTTATGTACAAAAACAGAAAACATGTATGCAAATCTTGAATAGATAAAGAAGCAAAATATTACAAATGTATGCGATAAGTGAAGCTTTCAAAATATTTACGTTTCATTTATTTGGTGTTTTTATTATCGCTATACAGATTCGTGCTATCGATAACGTAAAAAAATTTCACGATTTTTGCTAAAATGACCATGTCGAATTCGCTCGAATCGACCGTGTATCGAATTTCCCTTTTTTTCCAAAAACGATAACATTTCAAAGAATGCTATTCTTTTCACGGTGGAACGTTAAAGTGTAAATAATTTCATAAATACCGTATCTGTTCTTCAAATCGCGAATTTCGCGATTTCGATTATAGAATTTACGATTGATATTTTTAATGATGGAGCATTTTCTCTTTTGTTTTTGGTTTTGCAACGTTGTGCGTTGTTGTAATATTTATCGCAAAGCAAAAATCATCGTTTAAACATTCGCCTATAAATTAGGGGACATGGGCGGCGTCGCAAAAATAAATCAAACTCGAGGAAAACGTTTTCGTAAAAAACGTTGTTACGGTCGATGAACTTGGTCGTAACCCGCCTTGATTAATGCAAGAAATATTTAAATCACGTATCCATTCCGATTACATTATACATATTTTAAAGTAAATCGCGGCTATTGCTTCATAAATCGCGATACTCTAAAACGCCATAAATTCTTTAAATTACATATCATTTTATTAATTACAACAGAGAGAGAGAGAGAGAACCATATTTAATTTTTAAAATTGTTTCTTTCTCTCGCTTTTATAATTTGTATAAGTAAAATTATTCATGTCTAATTTATCAATAAAATATATATAAAGAGTATACTCGTATATAGTTTTTGTATAATAAAAATCACAGTAAAATTTATGTTATTTTTAATTTTATCATATAAAAAAATCATACGTTAGCCATACGTATGATTTTTTTATATGATAAAATACATGATAAAAATGATCGCAAATATATTTTTCCAATTTTAATCAAGGAATGACGATTTATACGTATTTCTTAAAACGTCTTTTAACCGATCGGAATAAATGACACGAAGAAAAAAGGAAAGGAAGAAAAGAGGAAATCACAATCGCGCGCCACTTATTGCACCCTGTAAGCGCCATATTGCGACATGCTAATGAATTTTTTCCTCCGACGGGGTCGAAAAAAAAAAGATTAATTCACCGCGGATGCTTCTCCATCTGGTAGAGGGGTACCGGAGCTAGAGGGAGATATTAAAAATTAATCCTCTCGGCCGTTAAGGACTCCAGGGGTGTTCCGGGTGACGACAAGTGGTCGTAATGAACGCTCTAATGAACATGCACAACGAGCGCGGCCTCGTTAAGCCGGACCGACCGATCATTAACACGTGGCTTCCTTTTTAACAATTATCTAGGACTCCAACGACAAGGGATGACACGAAGGAGAGAACGGAAGGTACGCACAAAGTCCATGTATCGTAAAGGTGGAATGAAAGACGATTCGTCTCTTTCTCGGAGGACGCTAAATTTTCGCGACTCCAAGATTTATGAACAGTTTCACGATTGATTCCGCGTGCGAGTAAAGTCTCTGAATTTTTCGGACGGGATTTTTTTCAAGCGATTGCAAAGAATAACCTGCGAAACCTCTCTCATTTACCTCTACATAATTTGATCGATTTTACAAAATTAATACATCATACTGGGTGGAGAAAAAATGTGCGGTTATGGAAGAACGTTCGATGGCGGCCCTCTCTACGCACCTCGATATATAGGAAGCAACGCGACGGCACGCGTTGAAGAAAGGACGAGGGGGAGGAAGGGGCAAAAGGGAGTGTAATCTCCCCTATCGTGTAGATCGGAAGCCAATTAATATCCACCGCGCATTCCACGCATCCCCCTTTCTCCTCATCGTACATCTGCCAAATAACCCCGCTGAAACATAACTACGCGCGTCGTGATATACTCGCGCCATGGGGCTCGCTTGTCAACGACGAGACCCCATAAACTCTGGAGAGTCGCGATAACTGGGGTTAACCGGCGGTTATCGCGACGCGATCTCCTAACGAGACGTCGTTTCATCTTTTTAGCTCCGCCATGATAATTACGCCAAAGACCTTTTATTATTAATCTACCGAAAAAAATGTCGACTTTGAGCGATTCTCGCTCTTAGCTTTATTTTATCGAATTTGAAAATAATCCTTTTCTCATGTTTACGCACGTTATTTTCGACGTGTAATAAATATAATTCTCAATAATACGAGTATAATTGTAGATTGAGATTGTAAAAAGATTCGCTTCTTCTCGCGAATTTAGCTGAAAATTTCAATTTCTCTCTTCCCAATTTCCGCAAAATTTGTCCAAATATTTAATTTGACTTGCTCTCTCATTATTTGTGAAGAAATTCATTTTTATCGTTAGCTTCTAATATGTAAGCATCTTTTTCTCTACTCAAGCTTGTCCATTAAATGCTTAATTGCATATCAACTTATCTGATTGAAAAGATTCATCACTCACCTTGTAGATCTCGTCGACGAGTCTGGTGAGCTCCTCGGTCTCCATGATGACCTCCCGGATGAAAAATCGATTTTTTTTTTCCCTAGCTTTGTGAGATGCTCATATTTTTCCGTCCTCCCGAGACCGGATCTCACGTGACCGCTCCGCTTTCTCCAACTCGATCCCCACACCCGTCCGATATATCGTGCTCCGAATCTGGAATACGAGAAAAACAAAACGAAAAATTAAGGGACATGCTAAAAACATACATGTATAAGAGAAAAAACAGGCATTATTGAATTTAATTTTAGTAAACTAATCTCTCCAAGAGAGAGAGCCCATCAGTATTTTCAATCATATTTTCTACATTAATATTAAGAAACGGCTGAGAAATATGTGCGTGTTTGAATACAATAAATATAAAGCAATAATAAATTTAAATTAATATTGCACATTTTATATATTAAATAGATATATATTGATATGAATATTTTAAGTTGAAAAGGATCCGATTAGATTCTTTACACACATGCATCTTTAGAGGAATCTTTACTTTAGACGAGTCTGAAATTCGCGGATCTTTGACTCGACTGGTATTCAGCTTCGAGTATCCGCCCAACTATTTATCCGTCGCTACCTTTTTATGATAATAATCGCTAATAGAAAAGCGCATTCCTCTCTCGATTACAACCAATTGGCACACCAGGCCTGGAATCTCGGTACGCCGCTTAGGCTAAGCTCGAACTAGGCATTACTCATACGCGAGCGGAGCGAGAGAGGTCACGTTTCCCAAGTACTTTCATTCCGCAAGGACACCCGGTATGCGCGAACGGCGAATACGAGAGAACCGCATAACTTTGCCGATCTTATAATGTGTTTCTCGACGCGGATCTGCGTTTCGAGCCGCGTGTTCACTGATGGTCGATCGAACAACGAGATATACCAACATGTTATATAATTATATATATATATATATATATATATATATATATATAAATAATGTGTATACATACTTGTATACTCGGTGAAGAGCGTCTATAACAAATATATATTGCACGCATATATTTGTACTTTTTTAACAACAGCCATTAATGTATTAGCATATATATATACACGTGTCAAATGTAATAGGAAAGTAAAATCGCAACTGTTATAATTAAGAATTTAATAGAGTTCGATAGAATACATGTCGCACATGTCGCGTGTGACGATGAGAATAAACGATTGATTCAAAAAATATGAAATCTCTCGTCAGTCAAAGATGGTATTCGCAGATGTATAAATTTCTGACATTTTCCGGAAACATTCGCGCGCATTTTAGAAAAGACGCCGGGTAATTCGCCAAAGGTAAACGCGATGAATAATTGCGATTACGTCGATAACGGAATGGCGGGAGCGAGCGGCGATTGTGAGAGTGTCACTTGCGAAATAACGAAAGAGCGGACTGGCAATTGCAAACGAAATATCAATCGCGGCGGCTCTGGCGAACGTATGTAACATAATGGGCCGTTTAATAATAAAGCGGCCGCTCGCGATTCACCGCGTCGAGTCTGGACGCGCTTAATTAATAAATTGACGTTTTCATAAATTAATCTGCGCGCGACTACAAACTCGCGCAAAGTTGGCCGGATTGTTTAGACTTTATCGATAATCCCGATGGTCCGAGTAATTTGTTGTATATCCTTTTTTTATATTTTATATTAAATTGATATTGAGAGAGAGAGAGAGAGAGAGAGAGAGAGAAAGAGTTGAGTTTAATTAACTAAATAATCAAGCCGTTTCCCGCGATTCTCATCGGTTGCAAATTCCAAAAATGAAAAAGCGAATGAGAGTTTGGAGACTATAAAGATATTGTGAAATTGCGCTATTCAAATTATCAATCTATTCGAAATGTGTAATCAAACGATATCCGTGATTCGATCAACGAAATGTTGCCGCGGGGAGAGGGCTTGTCGGATTTGTTAAATCATATCGATCAATGCGTATGCGCAAACGATTCGATCGCGATCGTAATACAGAGCGGAAGATTCGATTAAACGATGAAAGCGCCGCAAAATTCAACGTAGCCTATCGAAAGCTCCCTCCCTCTCTCGCGCGCGCGCTCACGAATATTCGCTCGTTCGTTCGTCCGCGAATTTCGCCGACACAAGCTTCGCAAACGCTCGCTCACCCCGAAAGCTTTCAGGCGAATTAAATTCTCTCGAATCGTTTACGATAAAATGTTTCCCTTTAATCTCTCTAATCACCGATGTACTCGACAAACTTTCGCGAATTCAACCGGCGGACGCGACTAGGAACGTTTTAAAGTATTCGATACTCCACGATCGCGCATTCGATCGCTAATATTCGATGCCCGATAGTTCTTAGCGACGGGGGAATGAGACTGACGGTAAAGGAGATGAACAAAAATGATCGAGGATAAATATAAATCAATCATGGTAAATTGGGATAAAAATCATATACATCTAACAATTCATATACATCTAACGTTACATTTGGTTAAAAAATAAAAATAAAATTAAGCACAAATAAACTACAAATAATTAAGTACAAATTAATCAAGTAAGACAATAAATGGACATACATTCTTAATTTATATTATTCAGAGTCAAAATGTGTGTTCTTATAAATTATATTGACTTGGTCATACAATCATAATTCCGTTAATTATAAATACATCGATATAGAAAATCAAATAGATTAATGAATGAATGTGTATTCATGTGCCAAATACGATTTCTCTCAACGTTAATTATTGTTCGTCGAAATCGCTCGTTCGAAACTCTCTGTCAGCCCGAATAACGCGCTATCAATCACGTGCATCGACGGTGCATTGAACTTACTTTCTTCGTTACGTAATACAGCATTGTTACATCATAGACGCACACCGGCGCGAATATTTATTGTTTATTAGTGCGGTCGACAACTCCCGCGGTACACCCTCTCCTCTCTCTCTCTCTCTCTCTCTCTCTCTCTCTCTCTCTCTCTCTCTCTCTCTCTGCGGGATTAAATATTCCGAGCTTTCCTCGAGCTGACTCGTCGAAGCGATATTTACATAAGTTAGGCGCGTCAAAAATGAAAGCGCGACTGCATCGCGGGCAAAAATTTTATATGCAAAGGATCAAGACTTTTTCCTTCATCGTCAATCTTGAATAATACAATCTTTGAGCGTAAGGTCTACAAGTTTTTCTGACATTGTAGATAGAAAAATGTTGGGTCCACTTTTAAAAAGAAATCCAATTTAATTATGTATCCATGTGTCTATACATCTACCTCAATCGGTTCTCTTGGAAAGAACTTTCTTGTTCTTTTTTTAAAAATCTACGAGTTGACAAGAAAAAGGAATAGTTTAAGTAGTTATATATACGTAACGTTGCGCGATACGATATACATGTTATGCCCACGTCTACATGTTGCAGGTGTAACCGGGAGTTTCTGCCAGCAGGACCGTTGCAACATTCCTCGGCAATCGCGATTTGAATGCGATTGCACGAATGAATCCTGAACCCGTTTCGCGAATTTTGCGTTAAAAATAAACGCGAAACCGGCTAGATGGCTTTTGCTCCAATAAATAAAGAATAAATAATTGAAAATTTAAAAGGTCTAATATACTTATTTTTCCGATTGCAAGAAAAAATTTTTTTCCTTAATTTTAATTATTAAAATATATAATATTTAATATTCTACTTTTTACGACTATTAAAAATCTAAGAAAAAAACAACAAAATTGTCAAGGAGAATATATATTGTTAGAATGTCTACTTTTTCTATGTAAAAAAAATTTATAAAATCTGTAATTATTAGGGATTACCTCTTTCGATATTTTTCGTTGTAATTTTTAACAATAATAAAATAAAAAAATGTTGCGCGAGTGAAAAATGTTCATCTTCCGAAAAGCTCTAATTTTTCCTTCATTAGTGTGTGTGTGAAAATTGCATTTTCTCAATTTTATTTGAAATTTCGAGCATAAAAAAATACCTAAGAAAATCACGGAATATTTTTACAAAATTTTAGTAGACACTGTGATTATTACAACTCCATCTTCTTTTCCGGTATATATTGCATATAAACATACCTAACTTGTCCGGTATATATTGCATATAAACACACCTAACTTGTCATTAACACAAATATATCAATATAATAGTATTAATGACGACGTGGGTAATATCGAGAGTAATTTTGTTAGTGATGCGAGAAAGAGGGAGATATAATCTTCTCCTTCAAGGCCAGTGAAGCGCGAGGGGGAAAGCTTATGAAACTAGTTCCATAAACGAGATTCCACGGGCTGTAAATTGGTGCGAAAAAAGCACACGCACCTCTAAAGCAGTCGTTTTATCTCTTTTTTTTTTCTTTCGCGAGCTAAAACATCCTTGGCTTTCAAAGCCACCTTCTCCCCTCGTGCCCTACCCTTCTCTCTCTATCTCTCTCTCTCTCTCTTACGTCGTAGCTTTAATTATCGCCTCAAAGGGCCCCGCCCCTTTGCTTTATTTATCCATCGATGACGTTCCCTTATCCTGCGCGCCGTCAAAGAAATTCTTACGGACGTTAATTAACCTCCGAACGCAAAAAAGCAAGGTGCAAAAACGAACGGGGAGCACCCATATTCATTGCGATAATGAGAAAGGAAACTATTCTTTGTCCCCTTTCAGCGCGTTTGTCGCACTGTGTATTTTGCTTTCAACAAAATAATAGTTTCTTTATACCTTCCATTTTAGAAGAATATAGGGGAATATATATACATGCATATATAATTACATATAGGGGAATATATATATATATATATATATATATATATATATATATAATTGCTGTTAATTTTTAATTTACTTTCTTTTCATATCTTTTTGACATTCAACATTTTATAACTGAAAAACAAAAGAATATATATATATGTAAACATTTATATAAATGACATTGATTACTTTAATCGTAATACATGAATAATACATAAAATGCACTTTTAATAAATCGAGTTTAAAGAAAAAATGCTCAAAACTACACGGTTATAAACGAGTGTGTAAGTAACTGAAATATATGAAATAAATTTGTGTGAGTAACTAAATTAAGACATAAATCTTGTACGCGATAAGAAAGTGATGACAAGTGGACACGAAAATCGGTATTATTTTGGTTTAGTTTTTATCTGTGTATCAAGTTACAATAGATAAAGCCGAGTCGAGGCTCGCTCGAGCTTGCCCTTTAAAAGCAATTAG